TGAAACAATGAGAGAATGACTATAAGGCATCATTCCATCCATTTATTTATTTATACTGTGATTCCTCCAAAAAAGAGTTTAAAGTTGCTTAAAAGACTCAGGGTTGAGATATTTCTTTTCAATATCTGTATATTTCAATTTTTTAAGGGGCACAGAAATGATGAAACATTAAAGTTTAGCCTTAAGTTTCTTATTGGTCAAAGCAAAAGGGAAAGTCCTTGACTTAGATAGCTCTAATTAGCTAATAAAAAGAAGCATAAAGTTTGTAAGGAGAAACAGTTTTCTCCTGAAACTGAATCCTGAGAGAAATTCATTGAAATGAAAAAACTAAAAATTGGGTACTATCTGCAATGAGTTTTTGCATGTTCTCTTTTCATTTAACCTTTACAAAAGTACAGTGGTGAATATTGTGTCATCTTCATCTTATGATGAGGAAACTGAAGATCACAGCAGTTATGTTGACTAGACAGCTAGTTTTGAACCCTGATATCTCTGAATTAAAAGCCTATACCATGCTGGTCATACCACACTGCCACTCAGTGGACACTCATGTATACTGTTTGTGTAGTTTTGGACGCTGGGTTAATTTTCAATGGGGCTTTTCTGCAATATTCTGCAGCCTGGACTGAAGCATAGTCCATCCAGAATAGTTTTGCATTTGTTTCTGTTAGGCTCAGCAGGTATGACTAGTTTTGAGGTTTGTTTCTGTTAGGTGCAGGAGGTATGACTAGTCCCCAAGGGCTTCTTTTCCTAGAATCTTGAGGTAGAGGCTTATATTGTTGATTTGAGACTTTTCCTCTATTCTAATGGCTGCATTTAGTGCTATAAATTTCCCTCTTGATTCTGCTTTAGCTGTGTCCCAAAATTTTTGATATGTTGTTTTTTCATTTTCAGTATACTTTTTTATTTCTCTTGATACTTGTCAGATGTGATTAATTTAAGGACCTCCAATGGGGAGATTATCCTGAATTGTCTGGGTAGGTATAATATAATCACACAGGTCCTTAAAATCTGAGAACCTTTCCTGGCAGTGATCAGAGGAAGATGTGAATATTGAAGAAAGGTGTAGAGAAATGTAACACTGGTAGTTTTGAAGGTGGAATAAGGGGGCCCATGAGCCAAGGAATGTGGGTGGCCTCTGGAAGCTGGAAAGATCATGGAAATGGATTCTTCCCTAAAAAGGAAGAGCCCCTAAATAGGAAAGCAGTGCTCCAGAAACTTTATTTTAGTCCAGTGAGACTCATGTCAAACTTCTAACCTACAACTAATAAATTTGCATTTTCTAAGCTGCTAAGTTTCTGGTAATTTATTACAGCAGCAATAGAAAACTAGTACACTGAAACTTTCTATTTTTTCATTTATTTCAAGTGTGTTTATAATTACTGAAGCATTTATTATTTATTTATTATTTTTTGTTGATATTCACCTGAAGATATTTTTTCCATTGTTTTTCAGAGTGGAAGGAGGGGAAGAGAGAGAGAGACAAAGGTGTGAGGGAGACACATTGACTGGTTGCTTTCTGAACCTACTCGACTGGGGACAGAGAGTTGATCAGCAATCCAGGTACAGGCCCTTGACTGGGGATTGAACCCGAGACCCTTTGGTGCATGGGTTGATGCTCTAACCACTGAGCAACACCAGCCAGGGCTTATTTTTCTTTCTTTTTAAAAATTTATTTTTTAAATTTTATTTTTGTTTAAAATATTACAGATGTCCTTTTTTCTCCCCAATGACCAATTCTNAGACCCGTTCCACCCCGTCCCTTCCCCCTCTCCAGTCCCTCTCCTCATCATTGTCCATGTCCTTAGGTTGTGCATATATGCATATAAATTCTTTGGTTACTCTCTCCCCCTCCACCCACCCGCCCTCCTCCATCCCTCTGACGTTCGTCAGTCTGATCCATGCTTCCATGTCATTGAATCTATTCTGTTCATCAGTTTATTAAGTTCTTTAGATCCCACATATAAGCGAGATCATATGATGTTTGTCTTTCTTTGCCTGGCTTATTTCACTTTGCATAATTTTCTCCAGGTCCATCCATACTGTCCCAAAGGGTATGAGATCCTTCTTCTTTACAGCTGCATAGTATTCCATGGTGTAAATGTCCCACAGCTTTTTTATCCACTCATCTACTGATGGGCACTTGGGCTGTTTCCAGATCTTAGCTATTGTAAACTGCGCTGCTATGAACATAGGGTTGCATATATTCTTTCTGATTAGTGTTTCAGGATTCTTAGGATATATTCCTAGAAGTGGGATCACTGGGTCAAAAGGAAGCTCCATTTTTTATTTTTTGAGGAACTTCCATACTGTTTTCCATTCTTTTTAAACAATAGTTTTACTTATTCAGTTATAATATACACATAAAGTAGTGTCAGAATTGCTAACCCATATTCCTGTGGAAAATATGTTTATGAACTATATTATAGCATTTATATAGTTACTTTTGTCTTTAACTTTGCAGTATCCAGACAAGATACTGTTTTAAAAGTTAGTGTAGTATTCATTACTCTTTGAGTGTGATTGATGTTTTTAAAAAATCATTAAAAAATATTTTAAATTACAATTGAAATACATTATTATATTAGTTTCAGGTGTACACCCCAGTGATCAGACATTACATAACTTACTAAGTGATCATCCCGATAAATCTTGCACCCATCTGACACCATACATGGTTATTAGAATATTATTGACTATATTCCCTTTGCTCTACTTTACATCTCCATAACTGTTCTCTAACAATCAATTTGTACTTCTTAATCCCTTCACCTTTTGCCCCCATCCCTCCAATTCTTCTCCCGTCTAGCAATCATCAAAATGTTNGGAATGAAAAGGAAAACAGAGACTAAGTGTATTAATATACAGATATTATCCATGGATATTAATGAAAGTGAAAAAAGGTGAAATATGATTTCTGGATATAATAGACATAAAGCATGGTATTAATGATTACCATGATGGCCTGTGTATTGTCAGAAGAGATGGTAATGATCAATAGGAACCAATATAGGTTCACTAAAACTAAATAATGTCAAGTTAATTTCATTTTCTATTTAGGTATGTTTCCTAGAAAGACTGATCAAATTAATATTATAGAAAAAAAAAGATGGCATTATTATTATTATTATTAATTTACCTTTACTGTTGAAAGCACTACAGGTGTCTCATTTTTCCCCACCAATTGACCCCCTCCACCTTTCTCCCACCCCCTCCACAGGCCTTTACCCCATGATTGTGTGTGTCCACGGGTTATGCATATATACATATAACTTCTTTGGTTAATCTCTTCCCACCCCTACCCCCCTTCCCTCTTCCCTCTGAGATAAGACAGTCTGTTGCATGCTTTAATGTCTCTGGGTCTATTTTGTTTGTCAATTTCTTTTGTTATTAGCTTCTTCATAAAGAAGACCCTTCAACATTTCATGTAGTGCTGGTCTGGTGGTGATGAACTCCTTTAGCTTTTTCTTATCTGTGAAGCTCTTTATCTGACCTTCAATTCTAAATGATAGCTTTGCTGGGTAGAGTAATCTTGGTTGTAGGTTCTTGCTTTTCATCACTTTGAATATTTCTTGCCACTCCCTTCTGGCCTGCAAAGTTTCGTTGAGAAATCAGCTGACAGTTGTATGGGTGCTCCCTTGTAGGTAACTAACTGCTTTTCTCTTGCTGCTTTTAAGATTCTCTCTTTGTCTTTAACTTTTGGTATTTTAATTATGATGTGTCTTGGTGTGGGCCTCTTTGGGTTCCTCTTGTTTGGAACTCTCTGTGCTTCCTGGACTTATAAGTCTATTTCTTTCTTTCTTTTTTTAAAAATATATCTTTATTGACTTCTGAGAGAGGAAAGGAGAAGGAGAGAGAGATAGAAACATCACTGATTTGAGAGTCATTGATCGAGCCCACAACCCGGGCATGTTCCCTGACCGGGAATCGAACCCTGATCTCCTGGATCCTAGGTCGACGCTCAACCGCTGAGCCATGCTCTGCCCGGCTATAAGTCTATTTCTTTCCCCAGATAGGGGAAGTCTGTCATTATTTTTTCATATAGGTTTTCAATTTCTTGCTCTTTTTCTTTTTTTTAGAAGCCAGGGTTTTAAAAAATTTAATACCTTCTAATCAAATAGTAACAGCAGTAAATAAACACTTTGAAAAACAGGCAGGTATCCCCCTATATCTGGAAGAAAATTAAGTCAAAGTTTTCTACATGGTAGAAGGGAGACAACTGCTGATGTCCATAGCTAGACAATTCAAGGACAACTTGGAAATTTCTAAAGCCATTTCCAAAAAAATCCATGGCAACAGGTTGGGACACAGCTACTTCAAAGGGTAAAATGTCTGTATCTACATGGTTTTATTAACCAGGACTGGGTTGCACCTATATAGCGTGACATTCTTGTCTTTGGCCTTAAAGGAAAAGAGTCTTTTCCATTTGCACCAGTTCGAAATATTTCTGAAGTAAGGCTCCCTTAAAATGGATTACTACAGTACTCATTCACATGAGAGTTCATACATGTAGTAAAAAGACAAATACAGGATTTCGTGGTCACTTTTTTTCGTTGACTTGGTTAATTGCATAAAATGAAAAATAAATACTCACAAGCATATCTGACCAAGAAAAACCTCTAGGTACCTTAGAATGCAAAATATAACGACATGTGCTGGTGAGGGTGTGGAGAAAGGAGAACCCTAGTACACTGCTGGTGGGAATGTGGACTGGTGCAGCCACTATGGAAAACAGTATGGAGGTTCCTCAAAAAATTAGAAATGGAGCTGCCTTTTGACCCAGTGATTCCACTCCTAGGAATGTATCCTAAGAATCCTGAAACATTAATCAGAAAGAATATATGTACCCCGATGTTCATAGCAGCACAGTTTACAATGGCCAAGATCTGAAAACAGCCCAAGTGCCCATAAGTAGATGAGTGGATAAAAAAGCTGTGGGACATTTACACCATGGAATATTACGCAGCTGTAAAGAAGAAGAATCTTGTACCCTTTGGGACAGTATGGATGGACCAAGTAATCTTTTAGTCTTGTTGGCAAAGGCAGTCCCCAGATGGCACCAGTGCGTTTGTTAATGGTGAGTCTGCAGAGATGCTGCAGAGGTGGTGCTGATGTGTAGAGTGGTTTGGTCAGATAAAGGTGAACCGTGCCGTTCCAGGGGGCTTCTGGGCCCGACCGCTTATCGTTGCACATCTGAACATAGTAGTCTATCAGATGAACCACACTGTCAAACTGTTTAAGCTTGGACTTGACACATATAATAGAGTCCAATCTGAATTTCCCGTCTTGATATTTGATTCGGAGATTAGTTGGTCCAGCTGATGTTTTAACAGATATTGTTGGTAGGTAGTCTGAATGCAAACTATCTCTAATCAAGAAAGTTCCTTTTGGTGCCTCTTTTAATTTGTCTTTGGCTTCATTAACAGTGATACTTCCCCTGTACCAACCTGTTTGACTGAGCTTCTGCAAGGCCTTCGTCAGATGCGCTGCCTCTGGGGACGACTCCTTCGAGGACCCCGCCATCCCCCACTGGCTCCGCATCCCTTCCACACCATTCCCGGAGGGCTCAAGGCACCGCAGGGTCATGGGCAAAGGGTGACCGCGGTGAACACAGGTGGCCGCTGGAGCTGGGGTCAGAGAGGGCCAAGCTTCCTTCCTGGAAGTCAGTGGGAACCCCAAAACGCATCCCTGCAGAGTATCCAAAATGGTGGTGGAGGGGGAGGGGGTGCGTAGCTGCTGGTTCTTCCTCCCCAGATACTGGTGGACCCATGGCACACTCCCCCGCAGGCGCAATCACCCACAGTTTGCCTGCCACTAGCCTCCGCCTTAACTCCTCCGGGGCCCCGACTGTGGGCACAGAGGATGCTGAGGCGGTGCACCCAGAGTCCTGGTGCGTACTGTCCGCGGCCCCGGCAGCGCCGGTGGCAGCAGGCGAGGATGCTCATGCTTCAAGTGAAGCCCCTTGTTCTTTTTCTTCTCCTTCTGATACCTCATAATGTGAATGTTGGGCTGCTTGAAGTTGTTCCAGAGACTCCTTACACTATCTTCATATTTCTGGATTCTTTTTTCTTTTTTCTTCTCTGATTGGGTGTTTTTTGCTTCCTCATATTTCAAATTGCTGATTTGATTCTCAGCATTCTCTACTCTACTGTTGATTCCTTGTAAATTATTTGTCCTTTCAGTTAGTGTAGCCTTCATTTCTGACTGGTTCTTTATTATGTCATTGATGATCTCACTAGTTTCCTTAATAGTCTTACTAAGATCCTTGAGCATCCTTATAACCACTGTTTTGAACTCTGTATCTAGTAGGTTGTTTGGCTCTATTTTATTTAGTTCTTTTTCTGGAGATTTTTTTTGTTCTTTCATTTGTGACATGTTTCCTTGCCTTCACATTTTGGCTGCTTCCTGGTGTTTGTTTCTATGTATTAGGTAGAACTGCTATGTCTCCTGGAACTTGTAGAGTGGCTTTGTGTAGTAGGTGTCTTGTAGGGTCCAGTGGCTCAGCCTCCCCAGTTACCTGAGCAGGGCCTTCTAGGTGGTTCCTTGTATGTGTCGTGTACACTGTACTGTTATAGTTGAGACTTGGTTGCTATTGGTGTCACTAGGAGGAATTGAGCCCCAGGCCAATTTGCTGTGAGGAACCAGCTGCAACTACTGCTGAAGAGCTGCTGTGCTGGAGACACCCCTATGGAGCAGGATTTACTTCAGTGGAGCTTTGGTGTTCACCTAGTCCGCCCCTTGAGTGTGTCACATGTGGATGTGGTAGGGTTGTAATCTGGTGTGATTGAAGCTGACTACTGGATGCACTGTCTCTGGGGTCTCCCAGGAGGTGCAAAGTCAGCCTCTGCCTGTGCCCTGCCCAGGGCCACCCAGCACGAGCTACACAGTAATCCGTAGATGGCTGCTACTTGTGCTGGGCTTGTAGGTGTCCATGAGTGGCCAAGCTCTGAACCAGTGCAGGGTGCTACTAGTGCCAGGCCTGGGGCCACTTATTGAGAGGTATGGGGCATGCTGAGGCCAGCTGCTGCTTGTTTGAGAGATCTTAGGAAAGTCCCTAAGCATAAGGCTAGAGAGGCCACTTGCATAGAAAAGCCATTGGAAATGGCTTGAATGAGCTTGCAAGCAGGGAAGGGCAGGGTCTCTGGGAATCTCCAGGGCAGGGCGAGAGTTGTGAGTTGTTGATGGAGATTCAGAGCAGGTGTCTGCCTCCCAGCTCTCTTGGGAGAGGGCTCATCAAAGGAGCAACAGCCTCTGCCAGCTCTTCTGTCTGTGAGAATGCTGCCCCTCCAGCTCTTGCTCTGATTCCAGGCAAGTTAGTTCCTCCCTGAATGTACCAAGTTCCTTTAAAGCTGCTGCCCAGCACTTGAGCTCAGATAGAGTGCATCTGAGTAAATTCCTGCTCTGGCCCTTTAAAAGGAGCTACCCGGGACTCCTGCAGCCTCTGTGTCCCTCTGCCACAGTCCCCAAGTCTCTGCCCCTCCTACTGGTTCAATGTGCTTCTTCAGTTCCCTGGTTGTAGGATTTCTGTTCAGCTAGATTTCAGGAGGTTCTGAATAATGGTTCTGTATTTTAGTTGTAATTTTGATGTGGTTGTGGGAGGCGTCGGCTACTGTGGTCAGCTTTGCTGCCATCTTGTTATCCGCCAGCAAGGCTTTTTTTTCCTGACAGTCTTATAGGAGCTCCCTTGTAGGTAACTAATTGCTTTTCTCTTGTTGCTTTCAAGATCCTCTCTTTGTCTTTAACCTTTTTCATTTTAATTATTATGTGTCTTGGTGTAAGCCTCTTTGGGTTCATCTTGTGTGGGACTCTGCCCCTTCTGGACTTGTATGTCTGTTTCCTTCAGCAGGTTAGGGAAGTTTTCTGTCATTATTTTTTCAAATAGGTTTTTAATATTTTTCTCTCTCTCTTTTCTCCTTCTGGCATCCCCATGATGTGAATGTTGGTTGATTTGAAGTTGTCTCAGAATCTCCTTAAACTATCCTCATTGTTTTGAAGTCATTATTGTTTTTGCTGTTCTAATTAGGTATTTTTTGCTTCCTTATCTTTCAATTCACTGAATTGATTCTTAGCTTCATCTGCTCTACTGTTGATTCCCTCTAAATTATTATTCATTTCAGTTATTGTAGTCTTCATTTCTGATGGGTCCTTTAAAAAAAAAAAATTAATTTTCATCCAAGGATATCTTTTTAATGATTTTTAGAGAGAGAAAAGTTTCTGTGAGAGAGAAACATTGATAGCTTGCCTCTTTTATCAGTCCTGACTGAGAATCGAACCTGCAACTATTTGGTGTACAGACAGCTGAACTACCAGCCAGGCTGACTGGTCCTTTTTTATGATGGTGAAATTCTTACTAAGCTCATTGAGCATCCCTATAACCAGTGTTTTGAGTTCTGCATCTAGTAGATTGCTTGTCTCCATTTTGTTTAGTTCTTTTTCTGGAGTTTCGTTCTGTTCTTTCACTTGGGACATGTTTCTTTGTCTCCTCATTTTGGCGGCCTCCCTGTGTTTGTTTTTAATGTGTTAGGTGGAGCTGGTACATCTCCAACGTTTGGTAGAGTGGCCTAATGGAGTAGGTATTCTGTAAGGTCCAGTGGCACAGCCTCTCTGATCACCCAAGCTAGGCACTCAAGGTGCGCCCCATGCCCCATGTGGGCTGTGTACACCCTCAACTTGTAGTTGAGCCTTGATTGCTGTTGGCACGTCAATGGGAGGGATATACCTCAAGGCCAGTCAGCTGCAAGGACTGGCTACAACCACTGACCACTGACCTCTGACTACTGTGGAGGATGAGGTGTGCAGAGGCCTACTCCACAGAGCAGGACTTACTTCAGCAGGGATCTGGTGCCTGCTGAGTCCACCCCTTGAGTGTGTCACTTATGTAGGTGGTTGGGTGTTGATGCTTTAACATAGTCTGAAGTTGTCCACTGGATGCCCTGGCTCTGGGGCCTCCCAGGAGGTGCAGGCCAAGGTCAGCTGCCATCTGTGTTCTGCCTGGGGCCACCCAGCATGAGCTACAAAGACATCTGTAGATGGCTACTACTTGTGCTGGGCTTGGCAGTGACGAGGTGAGGCCAAGCTGTGAACTAAGGACAGATGCTTCCTGTGCCAGGTCTGGAGCCACTTAGGGAGAGGTACAGGGCATGCTGAGGCCAGATGCTGATTGAGAGATATTAGGAAATCTGAAGCATGAGCCAACAGGCCATTCATATGGAAAAGCCACTGGAAACAGCTTGGGTGGGCCTAAAAGTTGGGTGGAGTGGGGCCTCAGGGAATCACCAGGGCAGGGCAAACAGTGTGAACCTGGTTGTGGAGTCTCAGATATGACCCTGGCTTGCTAACTCTATGTGGGGAGGGCTCATCAAAGGAACAATGGCCTCTGCCAGCACTACTATCTGGGAGAAAGCTGCTCCCCAACACCCCGAGCCCTTGCCATTATGCCAGACATTCAGTTCCTCCCCATATATCTCTGGTGCCTTTCAAGCTGCTGACCCAGTGCTGGAGCCTAGAGGGAAGGAGTCTGAGTAAGATTGTGTATGGGCCTTTTTATTTTTAATTTTTTTTTTTTTTAAATATATCTTTATTGATTTCAGAGAGAGGAAAGGAGAGGGAGAGAGAGAGATAGAAACATCAATGATGAGAAAGTCATTGATCAAGCCCACAACCGGGCATGTGCCCCAACCGGGAATCGAACCCTGATCGCCTGGATCCCAGGTCGATGCTCAACCGCTGAGCCACACCCGGCCGGGCTATTTTTAATTTTTAATTTTATATATCTTTATTGATTTCAGAGAGAGGAAAGGAGAGGGAGAAAAAAACATAAATGATGAGAGAGTCGTCATTGATCTGCTGCCTCCTTCATTCCCCCGACTGGGGATCAGGCCTGCAACCTGGGTGTGCGCCCTGGCTGGGAATTGAACGGCGATCTCCTGGACCCTGGGTCAATGCTCAACCACTGAGCCATGCTTGGCTGGGCTGTATGGGCCTTTTAAAAGAATTGCCTCAGACTCCAAGAGCCCTCTGTTTCCCTGAGCCTCAATACCCACTGGTTTTACAGCTAGAAGTTATGGGGACTTCTCTTCCTGGCACTGGAACCCTGGGCTGGAGGGCCTGGTGTGGGGCTGGGATTCCTTGATCCTCAGGGCACATCTCTGCACCTGAGATATCCCTCCCAATTTTTATCTGCCACACTTGGACCAGCCCATTCCCTGTCTCTGCCCCTCCTACCAGTCTTGATGTAGCTTCTTCAATTCCCTAGTTGTAGGAATTCTGTTCAGCCAGGTTTCAGGCAGTTCTGAATGATGGTTGTTCTGTAGTTTAGTTGCAATTTTTGATGTGGTCAGTGAAGCATTTATATCATGGCTGCTTTAAAATCTTTGTCAAGTAATTCTAACATGCCATCTCAGTTTTGGCATCTGTTTCCCCCCGCCCTCATTTAGTTTGAGATTTTCCTGGTTCTTGGTATGAGTAATTTTTGACTGAAATATGGACATTTTTATATTATATTATGAGACTCTGGATCTTATTTAAACTTTGTCTTAGCTGGCTTTCTCTAACCCCACTGACCTGGGAAGTAGGGGCACTACCTT